GGACTTTAGGTAGACTTATTCCTAGAACAAATTGATCCCTCGTCGTATATATATATATATATATATATATATATATATTATGAATTAGATACGATTTATTTATAGTAAGCATATTAAGTGAATTTTTTTAATCTAACAAGAGAAAGAAAGTTTACTTCAGGATTTTGGCCAAAACAATGAATAAGAGCTTGATACTCCTTAAGATCTCCGACTGATGTGGAAGCAGCATGTGCATTTATGTAGTTCACATCTTCCTTTGATACTCCAGAATGAGCCAATGCCTTTTCGATGCTAAGAATAATACCAGCCCCTGTATGAGATGTGAAATAAAGAGACATGAATGCAACCATAATCAAGGTTTAATCCCATAGGGATATATGGAGCTAAATTGTTAATAAATTCATGATTCAGGTACTTACCAAGTATCGTTAACAAAATAAAAAAATACTTTACGCATAAATACCTAACTATTTTATAATTGTCATGGTCCAAATGCACCAAATTATTGTAGCTTTTACTTTGTTAAAATTTAACAATCATGTTGATAATTCGTAAGAATAGAAAGGAACAACCATAAGTGACAAAATATGAATAGGTATATAGAATCTTAACCATTTCAAAAGATTATTAAAAAAGATAAAACTTTGGTACAATTTCTTATGTGTAGTTGATGTTGTGCTTCAACTAAATTTGAAGTTTTATTTCGATATTATGTGTAAATGTATATTAATGAGACTTGAATTAAATACAAGTATATAATATCAAGGTAAAACTCCAACTTTAACTGGAGAACAACACCAACTACATTTAAGGAACTATACCTAAATTTTATCCTAATAAAAAATGTAAAATTATTTTTTACCAATGTTGATTATGTGTTGGAACTCGTAAAATTAGATCCTGATGATGCTTAAATGCAAAGATGAATGATTTTTCGTATTCTTCTCTTGAATGGCTAATGAATCTTTTGTTTTGCTTGAAAGTTTTATAATATTTCTATTTTATGTATAAGGGTTGGTGTATCCTTTACCTCATCTAATAGAATTTAATTGATATACATTGTAAGTGTAAAAAGTTTTACACAACCAATCAATTAGAAATCATAGTTTGTATGACTTTTAAGATAATTATTAACAAACTTATCATTTATAGTGGATTGTGATTGATTGAATGACCATGTAAAACTATTTTACATTCTAAGTGCATCACCATTAAACTTTATCTTTTTTTTTTTTCATTACCAATGAATTTTCCTGTCAAACACGGAGATAATCTTTTCAAAAGTTTGACAGATGCTAAATAGATAAATATCTCCTCCCAACTTGAATTTTTTGCATTCACATTAAACTATATAATATATTGTCATTTGTTTGCTAATAAAAAAAATACATGATGGACAATCGAAAACATTGCCCTTTGTAATTCCAATAGATGAAGCAAGAACATAACATCATAACCATGAAATGAAAACCATGATGCACCTAATTCCAATAGATGAAGCACCAAGATAACAATGAAATGAAAACCACGGTGCACCGATCAAAATTATAATTAATATGAGCAAGCCATTCATGGTATTAATTACATTGACTCGCATTTTTTTTTTAAATCAATTACATGAATTCACATGAATAACAAAGATTGTCTATATATACCATTTTTAGTTTTGCATCTAAAATGCGATTTTCTTGCATAATTTACTAAAATAGCTTTCAAGACCAATTAAAAACAAAGTTGAAGATGAACTTATCATGAATATAATTAGAGTAAACTATAAAGAAAAACATAAACAACAATCAATTAGTTTGTTTTTAGGATTGTTTAAAAGTAATAGACCTTAAATGTATGTGACATTTTACCATCGGGATGTGGCTCGGTCACATGATAAGCATCACAAGTAAAGCTTCCACCAAGGAATTCTGCACATATATGTGCACCTCTATTCTGAAACACAAAATAGTTAATGACTATAGTAACTATTAGAATCATATTTTCCCTTAACAATATGATGTAACAAGAAAGAAGAAATGATATATAGGTAGTATCATTGGTAATGAGAAGTATGAAGCATGCATGATTCTAACATGGGATAGAGAAATAGATGTATCAACTTGTTTTTATACCCTTGAAAGTTAGAAAGAACTGAAGGATTAGATAGATATTAGATATATTTTTGTGTACATTAGTTTTGCAACAATATTCAACAACACGGTGTAAAGTTCTTTTAAGATATATGTTTTATTCTCAAGTTATTAGACTAAAATGTACGTACCTTGGCATGCTCTAATTCTTCCAAAAGCAAAACTCCAGCACCTTCCCCTAAGACAAATCCGTCACGATTCTGTTATTTTACATAGGCAAACTAATTGTTAACAATAAGTACAAGGCACAAATAAAGAATAAAGCTTTAAAAACTTTAATTGTTTAATATCCTTATGCATTGTAATTCATGTATCCCTCACTTTGTCAAAAACAGTTTAATATCATAAATATTAAAATTGATGATGCAAAATTTGCTCATTTTAAGAATTGATCGATAGAATTTTTCAGCAGCATATATTTATTTAGTTAGATACCTCCACAATTTCTCTCAATTATCTCTCATGGAATTTCCCCTCAAATTGTAGGTCAAGTAATTTGGAATATTTGGAGCGCGTTAGTCTTGGATATCAACACGAGGGCCAATAGATCGGCCAAGTTGAAAGTCTAAAGGAACAAAAATGAACACAACAAACAAAAGAACAATCAAGAGAAATGAGGTAAGGTTGGCACTCCATACTTTTAGTAATTAACTTACTAATAGTAATATTATGACAATTGGGGGTGTCTTTAGGGGTAACTCACATAGGGAAAGAGGATGACATTGTACAGAGACTAGTCAATCTGGAGAAAAAGGATTAGTGAGGAAACAGAAACCCCAACTAATAAGGAGGGAGAGAATGAAGTTAATACATGAAACTAATGTCATATAATGTTTGAATTTTAGGAAGGAAGGTTAAATAAAGGTATATTAGGAGGTTGGTATGTAAGGAAGAGGTCCAATTCTTATGTATACAAGAGAAGAAGATGAGTGACATAAGTAAATTTTTGAGCCAATAGGGGGACACTGATGTAGAGTTTTTATCTCAATCTGGTATTCAATCAGTTGTAGAACTTATGTGTTTATGGAGCAAAGAATGTATGGAGTTAACAAACCAATTTTTAGGGGATGGTTATATAGAAGTGTGGAAGGATGTGGGTTTAATTTAACAATAGTTAATGTCTACTTTTCATGCAATATTGTGCAAAAAAATGTAAGAAGAATTGAGGGACAAAAAAGAAAATAGCAGCAATTGTATTTGGTCTGTGGTAGGAGACTTCAACAATGTAAGGAGAAGTAGTGAGAGACAACGAGAGGCTAAAGAAATCTTGGGGCATGGAGACACAAGAGAGTTTAATCAATTTTTATTTAATTTGGGATTAGAATATATTTAGACAGTGGCGAGGTCGTGCACATGGTTTAGATCAAATGGGTCAGGGAGCAGCAAACTAGATAAATTTTTTTGTTTCATGGGAATGATTAAATATCTGACCAGATAGTACCTAATACTTCTAGAGAGGAACATTTCAAATCACTACCACATCCTCCTAAAGAATCTTAATGTGGATTGGGTCCCAAAGCCTTTCTGAATGCTTGACTGTTGGTTATAAGATAAAAGCTTTAGAGGATTAGTGGAAAAAACCTGGTTTGAATATCAAGTGCAAGGGTAGGGGCTTACATACTAAAAGAGAAAATGAAAGGTGTCAAGTAGGAAATAAAAGGGTGGAATTCTGAGCAGTTTGGAGATATACAAGAAAAAACCAAGAGAGTAGAAAAGCAAATTAGTGATCTTGATAAAAAAAATGAAAAAAGAGGGGGGGGAGGTTATTATCGATGGAAGTAAGGTGTAAAAAGGAGTTACAAGAACAATTTTGGCAATTATCCTTAACTAATGAGTTCATACTTAGACAAAAGTCAAGGTCCAAGTGGTTTTTAGAGGGTGATGACAATAGAAACTATTTTCATATAGTAATCAATTGGAAAAGGAGAAAGAACTACCTAAAGGGATCACAAATTGTAAGAACATGGGTGGAAGAGTCAAGTCAAATAAAAGAATATGTGAAATGGTATTTTGAACACAAATTTAGTGATGCAAGGTAGTAAAGGCCAAAGTTGGATGGAATGAATTTCAAACAGATTACAACAGATCAAAATGCAAGTCTAATTACAAAGTTTGAAAAGATGGAAGTTAAAGAAGTTGTTTGGGACTATGAGGGAAGAGTCCAGGCCCAGATATAACTTTGACATCATGAAATCTTTTTGGGAAACTATAAAGGTGGCGTTATAAGGTGTTTGGAGGAGTTCCATGTTAATGGTAAAATTCCAAGGGGCTACAATTCATCTTTTATCACACTAATTCAAAAGATAGTGGGCCTGGTGTGATTGGGTGACTTTAGGCCAATTTCACTAGTTGGATATCCATATATAAGATTTTATCAAAAATCCTATCAAAAAGGATTAAAAAACAAGTTCTTATAGGTGTAATTGATCATTTTTAGAAAACATGTGCTTGGGTGGTAGAAATTTGTTGCATAGTGTTATGACTGCAAATGAGGTGTTGGATGAGGCAAAAAAGGGGAAGAAAAAAAAAAGAAAGAGGTGAGTGTTTGGTCCTTAAAGTGGACTATGAAAAAATGTATGACTAAATTAGTTGGGATTTTTTTTTTATATATATGCTTGAAAGACTATGTTTTTCTAAAAAAAAATGGAGAGAATGGATTTTTGAATGCCTAGCCTCTAGCCACGTGTCTGTCCTTATCAACGACAGTCCAACAACTAAGTTTAGAGTAAAAAAAAGGCCAAGACAAGGTGACCCCTTGGCACCTTTTATGTACATCCTAGTGGCAAAGGGGCTTAGTGGAATGATGAGGACAATAGTGGATAGGCATGGTAACGGGGCGGGTTTTACGTTCCTCGCCCCCGTCTCCGCAAATTTAAATCGTCCCCGCCCCCGCCTTCGATACTCACTGGGGATAAAATCTGGGTTCCCATCCCTGCTCCCGGCGGGGTTCGGGTTTCCCCGCCCCGCCCCCCGTCCCCGCTCCTATTTTTTTCTTCTTTTTTTCTTTTAAATAAATATGAACAATTTTTAAAAAAAAATAAAAGAAAAGTAAAATAATATAAATTTTTACTTATAAATATTTATAATTTTGGTTTATATATATATATACATATAAATATTTATAAATTTATTTTATATATATATACAAATAATATTTTAATTATATTCCGCCCCGTTCCCGCCCCCGATTTTATCAATCGGGGAAAACTCGAACCCGAACCCGAACCCGATAAACACGGGTTTTCTTCATCTAAATTGGGGCTAGTTCGGGCGGATACCCATGGGAGCGGGTTAGATTGACATGCCTAATAGTAGAGGATAAAATGGTAGAAGTCAGCCTTCTCCAATATGTGGATGATATGGTGTTTCTTAGTGATGCCAACCTCGACAATTTGGTCAATATTAAGTATATTCTCTATTATTTTGAACTTTTTCCAGACTAAAAGTGAATTTTCATAAAAGCAAATTTGAGGTTGTACGGTTAGAGACAAAGGTGTGAGATATTTGTCACTTTACTAAATTGTAAGATCATGTCACTAGCTAAATTCAATAAGAAATTATTGAAGTGGAAAAACAAGTCCATCTCTATGGTTGGAAGGGTGTGCATCATAAATTCAGTATTGATTACTATGATATGACATTTTATATCCTTTTTTAAAATGCCAAAATCAATAGTGAGAAAACTTGTTAGCATTCAACATAATTTCTTGTGCGAGGGATGAAGGGCGGAAGAGGGAACAAGGAAAATCCTATGGATAAGTTAGGAAAATATTTGTATCCAAAAATCCCAGGAAGGCTTTGGAGTGAAGGATATTGAAATCTTCAATGATTCACTCTTGGGAAAGTGGAGGTGGTGCTTATTTCACCAAAAGGATAGTTTGTGGGGGAAGATTATGGATTCAAAATATAGTGATTGGGAAAATAACATTGGGAAGAGTGGAAAGACTTGCGAAGGGTGTGTGCCGGACAAAATGAATCATAGTGGTTTGATAGAATGATTGAATGGAAAGTAGAAGAGGGTGTGAAAAATAAGATTTTGGTTGGATAATTGGTTAAGAGAAGAGTGTCTGGCTAGGTCTCATCCAAGGCTATTCTTGAACTCAGAATAATAGCAACACTTGCCAAAAAATATGGGAAAATGGGTTGAAGGCAACTAGGTTTGGGATTTTCATAGGAGGAGAAGGTGGTTTACATGGGAGACTGAGCAGTGGGGTAAGGTACAATCTTGGCTTCAAAATATTGCCCTGGAGAAAGGAAAGGAAGATACTTTGTGTTGGCTTGATGAGGCTGAAGTAGTGCTCACAATGAAGTCTACATATAGAACTATACATCACTTGAAGTATTAGCAAAAGTTTGGAAGTTGAAAATTATTCCCTTGAAGGAAGTGATTTTGATTTAGATACTATCAAAATGGGATCACAACCATCATTATTCTCAAAAGAAGAAACATTAATATGTTAGAGGAAGATTGCATATGCAGATTCTACAATTCATATACTAAATCATTGCATCATATTTTCTTCTTATGCAAGGAGATAGATTCACTATAGAATGCATGTTATAGTTGGGCCTCTATTTTTACTATCCTACCATTCTCCACAACTCAACATTTCAACCAAATACCATATAGGTGGACAGTGGTCTAGTGTATAATCATTTGGAACATATGGGGATTCAAGAATAATTGTATTTTTAGAGGTAGCAATTTTTTTGACTTCCAAAAATAAAAACAGGCTATTGAGTTCACATCTTAGTCTTGGTTATGATTAAATAACCAATTTGATTTCAACTATGTCCAATGGCTTAATAATCCAGGAGTATATATGCTGATCTTGTTGTGCCCAAAGTGTGTGGGTATCCTCCAAAGTCCCACATTGGGTAGTTTTGAAGGAAGGAATGTTGTGCCCAAAGTGTGTGGGTATCCTCCAAAGTCCCACATCATGAAGTTTGAAGAAGGGAGTGGTAGACTACTACTATAAATAAGAGGTGATAGTTAGTGTCTACTCACCACAACAACATAGGTTCCAATGGGTGTATTGGGGACTTGGGTAGTTGTGTGTCATGAGAGGGTTTTCAAGTTTTTCCAGAAAACTTGTGTATGAAGGTTTCCAAGTTTTTCCAGAAAACTTGTGATGAGAGGGTTTGCAATTTTGTCCTTGTAAAAATTGTAAGTGGAGAGAAATAAAATGAGTTTGTTTTTGTTTCTCTATTCTTGTTGTGTATGCTTCCGCTGTCGCTGTTTGAAGGCTTCTTTTCCCAACAGATCTATAGCTAACACGATCATCATGTCATAAGTTGATGCTAACAAAAGGAATGCAGAGATAATTTTGTTATGAGGAAGGAAGGTTGTATAGCATATAGTTCAAGAATGGAGTGAACCTATAGGAGCATATGGGGACTTGGTAGGATGTCAACCATAAGCATCACGAGATCTTATGCATTACCACTTATAATTTTAGCCCGCTTGGTAGTGCAGCTCGGCAATTTCATCTCTTGACCTTTTATTATGTTCTAAGTCTAATATGGAGGTGGAATTACACTCTGGTCTAAGGGCACATATATATATAGTTGGATGGAAGAATAATGGTCATATATAGAGCTCTAAGGAAATATTTTTTTATATCAGGGGAGGTGGGAGATCTTACTCAATATCTAGTGTAAGATAACTTGAATAATTGATGGAGTTTCTGGTAACTTAAGAACCAGCCTAAAGTTCAATGTGGGTAATTGTACAAGTGTGCTGGTTGTGGACTATTTTGATGGTTTAAAATAATACAGGTTGGATTTGGGAAGAAGTAGATTATGATTTTTGGTTGGGTGTAAGTATAGCCAAGAGGTGCTTACCTAATGGGTTGGTTATTATCTATTTAGTTTAATATGTTTCTTAAATAGAAGATAACCAACTATGTCAAGTGTTTAAGTAAATGATTGTTGTATTAGTTCTAAACTTAAGTTTTGGTAACTCTTGTACCATTAATCTAGTATATCTCTTTTGTTGATAAAATAAGAAAAAAATTAAACTTCTCATTAAATATTGTGATTCCATTTTCTTTAAGACGTCTTACAATACATTATTTACATCTTATTGGTATACATGACTATGAAGCATGAACTTAACACAAATTAAATTGATAAATGTGGTACTACAAAAAATGTTATATATATTTACATACAAAAAGTGTAATTATGAAACATATGAAGATATAAATCTATTTGACATGTACTCATATTATCTATAGCTAACACGATCATCATGTCATAAGTTGATGCTAACAAAAGGAATGCAGAGATAATTTTGTTATGAGGAAGGAAGGTTGTATAGCATATAGTTCAAGAATGGAGTGAACCTATAGGAGCATATGGGGACTTGGTAGGATGTCAACCATAAGCATCACGAGATCTTATGCATTACCACTTATAATTTTAGCCCGCTTGGTAGTGCAGCTCGGCAATTTCATCTCTTGACCTTTTATTATGTTCTAAGTCTAATATGGAGGTGGAATTACACTCTGGTCTAAGGGCACATATATATATAGTTGGATGGAAGAATAATGGTCATATATAGAGCTCTAAGGAAATATTTTTTTATATCAGGGGAGGTGGGAGATCTTACTCAATATCTAGTGTAAGATAACTTGAATAATTGATGGAGTTTCTGGTAACTTAAGAACCAGCCTAAAGTTCAATGTGGGTAATTGTACAAGTGTGCTGGTTGTGGACTATTTTGATGGTTTAAAATAATACAGGTTGGATTTGGGAAGAAGTAGATTATGATTTTTGGTTGGGTGTAAGTATAGCCAAGAGGTGCTTACCTAATGGGTTGGTTATTATCTATTTAGTTTAATATGTTTCTTAAATAGAAGATAACCAACTATGTCAAGTGTTTAAGTAAATGATTGTTGTATTAGTTCTAAACTTAAGTTTTGGTAACTCTTGTACCATTAATCTAGTATATCTCTTTTGTTGATAAAATAAGAAAAAAATTAAACTTCTCATTAAATATTGTGATTCCATTTTCTTTAAGACGTCTTACAATACATTATTTACATCTTATTGGTATACATGACTATGAAGCATGAACTTAACACAAATTAAATTGATAAATGTGGTACTACAAAAAATGTTATATATATTTACATACAAAAAGTGTAATTATGAAACATATGAAGATATAAATCTATTTGACATGTACTCATATTAATATTAATTTTAAATGAAATTTAACAACATAAATTGTTTGACACTATAGTTTATAT